TATAAGACACAGGCAAGAAACTTGTTTGAGCAAAGGGAAAACAGAGCACTTATTTGGAAGACAGACAAAGAAACCCAAGCAAAAAATAATCAGTGTCTCTAAAACACTGAAGCAGAAAAAGAAAAATTCTGAGTTATCACACTAAACATTTCTATAAAACAGTGATTTTTAACTGGTGTGCTATAAGAGGATTTTAGGTATGCTGCAAAAATTTTTAAAGATCATTAATTAAATTATTTTTGAAAGAAGTTCAAAACACTGTAAGTGTATTCTTTTTTTTACTCTGCTTTTGATCAACATAATTTAAGTGTGCCATGGAAGTTTAACAATAGGTTCAACTGTGCTGTGAGATTAAAAAAGGTTGAAAAACGCTGCTTTAAGGTAAGAAAATAACTGCATCCTGCATTCCCTAAAATAACTGGGAAATGATACGATGTTTGTGAAAAATGTAACCATCAGCATTGTCATCCTAATTAACCTATTTATTACACATCGAGGACAAAATTAGAGTTATTCAGGCAGCTAGGAAGAAGAAAGCAAGTCAACCACAATAGGTAAGCCTGGACTTACACTTCCTCCAGCTACAGCCAATCTCTACAAACCATGTAGCAAAGTCTAAACTTCAGAGGGAAAGAAAAGATGACCCAAGAATGTCATATCAGCCAAGTTGTTATTCAACTATAAAGGCAAGAGGAAGATATTCTCAAAAGTAAAAAATCTCAGAAAATATAACCTTCGTGAACCTTACTTGGGGGAAAAAATCCCTTGATGATGAAAGATATCCAAGTAAAAGATGAGTCTAAATAAATAATCCTGGAATGGAGAAGCCATGGGAAAAAGACTAGCAGAGCTGGATCCAAGCACAAACAGAACCAGAACTAACAAAGGGGTTCTGAAAATAGAGTAAGAATGTTACAAACCTGTGCAATGAACAGCAGTGTGAATGTGGATAGCACCTCCAAGTTCATCCGTTGACATCCTAACCTTCCAGGTGATAGTATTACCTGGTGGGGTCTTTGGGAGGTAATTAGGTCATGAGACCCCACTTTCATGAGGGGGATTAGTCCCTTACAAAAGAGACCTCAGCAAGCAAGCTAGTCCCTTCCATCACGTGGGAAGACAAGACGGTACTGAATCTGCCAGAGCCTTGATCTCAGACTTCCCAGTCTCCAGAACTCTAAGACACTAATTTCTCTTGTGTCTGGGCTACCTGTTTTATGATATTTTGCTATAGCAGCCCAAACAGGCTAAAAAAAACCTGTCAGAGCAATCATAAAAACGTGAGGAACAAAATTAGAAGGCAGTAAGAGTGGTGTTTGGAAGACATGAGAAACCAGTCAGGTAATCTTTCCCAGTAAATGATAACATCAAAAGTGATGTAGTTAAAGTCATGGGAAATTCCATGACTTCCAAATTTCTAATGTTTTTATATTTTTTCTTAATACTTAAAAAGGTCTTTTTAGGAACAAATAGCTTTAATGGTGAAAAAACTACATATAAAGTTCACAATTCCCTTAGTTGCACTTTCAGTTTGTTTTTCCCCTGCTAAACTCAAGAAAAATTAAATTTGGCACTTTCATTTTAAAGCAGGTGCACTGTAGTCTCTGTGTGCGTCTTATCTTACCGTGTTAATTCTTACTATCCGTCCATTTTACTGGCCTCCGATCTGTACCTGTGCATCAGGAGATGTTTAGAATGATGCTCTTCAACTGTTCACAGCATTTCAGAATGCTGAGATTTAGGGTGATATGCTGCTTTTGTCTTTATAATTTTCTATTTCCCTTACATTTTTAAGGATGCTCGTAAGTCACTTGTAAAAACATAAAATCGACACTCTAAAATGAATATATAAAATACGACATCACTTTTCTGATGTAGTGACTATTAACTAAGTGAATTTTTTTCAATGACCAAACATTACGAAGTCCTTCTGGGTGAGATATCGTTCTGAATATCCACCCTCATTGTCAAGTACACTAGAAGTGAATGGTACGTAAGAATGAGCAGAAGGCATCCAAGGTTCTATTTTTGTTTTCTTAAATAAATCTCTGAGTTTGGCCCCTTTAATTAGCAGTACATAACATTTATTGAGTACCTACTACATTACAGGCAATACGCTAACAAATACAATAAGTATTTTTATTATTTAATCCTCACAATAATTATAATAGCTATAATGGTAATGACAAAAGCATAATAATAGCAGCTCAGATTTGTTGCATGCTAATGTAGTAGGCAGTATTTCAAATGCTTTTCTTGCAATAACATTCTTCAGTGGGAAGGAATTATAGCAATGGGAGCTCATTGTGTAAAAGAGAGAAATATCAAAATCAACAATTAAAAACACAAAGATGTACGTTAGTAGAGTTATAGAAACTACACAGGTAAGGCTGACCTTGGGTAGAGAGAACATCAAAAGACAAAGCTGGCAGATTCACTGAACAAACTGATTTTGTTTTGGGGGGGTTTTTTTTGAGACAGAGTCTCACTCTGTTACCTTGGGTAGAATGTGATGGCATCATAGCTCACAGCAACCTCAAACTCCTAGGCTCAAGCGATCTTTAGAGATGGGGTCTCCTTGTGGCTCATGCTGGTCTCAAACTCCTGAGCTCAAGCAATCCACCTGCCTCCTGAGCTCAAGCAAGCCACCTGCCTCAGCCTCCCAGAAAACTGGGATTACAAGTGTAAGTTCAGACCGCACCCAGCTTAACTGAATTTTTTGATCATAAAACTGAGGGGAGTGAAGACTACATGAGAACTCTAAACCAAGTAGACATGAAGCCTTGGTCAACTTCTGGTTGTCCTGGAAACAAGGTTCCAATCGTTATAATGAGATCAAATCATATGCTAATTAAGAAAGCAGAAATTAGAGTTGGGACCATAAACATAGCCCAACTCTATCTTGTGAATAAATCTAGGAAGAGTTGTAGATGTATTTTTGCCGCATATAAAATCCAGAAGGCGAAGGATTTAAGTATGAAAGGACTGGGTTGAAAAAGCATATCCAGAAAGAAGTATTGCTGTTATGAGTGTTACTTCTGCTGCCAGCCCTGGCCAGCTCATGCAGGTAAGAAAGTAACAGTTGCATCTAACTCTATTCCACTCATTGGCTTTTCCTCTATGTAGGAACAAGCACGAAGTGAGGAGATAAAGGAGGTTCATGTTTTTGGTGTCTTATGTCATTAGCCACAGGCTTAAGGAGATCTCTGTTCACTCCCCCTGCTCCTTACTATTGGTTAGATCCATTCAGGGTGGACAGCAAACAGAGCCAGCAAATAATTTCACACTCAGAGTAACTCTATAGATCACTGTGTTGTTATTAACATTCCCATTTCCCAGATCTCATAGTGAGAGCAAGGAGCAGCTCAGAGGCAGTCTGTAACCCACCCATGGTCCATCTGAAACAGCTCCCTGACTTCATTCAGATCCCCTCTTTGCTTGATTTCTCTCTCTCTAAAATACTAATTTTTTGCTTGTTTTTTAGGGTTTCTATGCTTGTGTATATAACTTTGTTTACACATACATTGAGGGTTCTGCACTCAAATACACCCACACTCACAAACAAAAACAAGAAAGAAAGATGATTTTCCCCAATCCTAATGCCCAGGAACCAACAGCACAGGCCACAGCTTACTAGGATGGTTTGGTTTGGCTCAATTCTAGGGCGCTGGCTTTGTAAATTAAAGGTGTGATCCCTTGAAACCACTGTGATAAAAGTGATTTGAAATCATACTATTGGCAGTCATAATAGAAACAAATGCCTACTTACTACGCAAGGCTCAGCTCTGGTGAGAACAAATCAATCAAGTAAAATGCTTTTAGCTTCCCAGAGAAAGGTTCCACCTGACAGATACTAGGAGATCAAATATTCACACTGTTTCAGATAAAGAAGTATAGGGATGAGGATATATTTGAGAAGGAAGTAAGGGAAGGCGCCCTCAAAGAAACCCGACCCTGAAAAGCCTCCACTCACTATTTCTTTAGTTAGATTTTAATTTGTTCATTCCATTCTTTCCCACATCTGTTCACTCACTTGTTTATCTCCTTGGTTCCTATGCCATGTGCTAAGCCTACAGCAGCGAAAGACGTGGGCCCTGCATCAGGGAATTCTTCTGGGTCCAGTGATGGAAACAAATGTCATCAGACACTGTTCTGCTCAACATTCTTCTGGAGGCAGGAACAGGGGTGCCTAGTTTGCCTGTGGGAGTTCTGAGGAGGTTAAGTGAAGGAGGGTTTAGAAACCATCACAGGGAAAGAGAGAAGAAAGGAGATAAAGTAATTAGGAATTCCCAAACTCTGAGCAAGTGAGACAGTATGTAGGCTGCTCTGTCACAGATAAACATTTTCAAAGGAAGACAATCCTGATACCATCGGAGAGGATGTTTTTGCCTAAATCCCCCTGACTGTCTTTAAGAAGGCCAAGCTTTAATCTCTCAAGGATGATATTCTCCTCACCTGTGAGTGTGTCCCGGAGCCAGAGGGACAATTCTTTCTACCTAACTTCCTGTCTAATGAAGAATCCTCTTTAGAATATTCCTAATAGATATTCAGCCAATTCTGAAGTAAATTATCATTTGTTAATTTTTGGCTCCCCAGCCCCTATTCCCTCAATTGTAACAGCATCTTGATTCCCTTTGGGAACTTTCCCCCCATAATAAGCAGCCTTAGTAAAATAGTAAATTGGGTGCCCTATCATTCCACTGTAGAATTTGAAGGGATCCATGGAGACCTCTCTCAGATTTTTCTGCTATTCCCACTCTATATGAACCAAGGATGAACACGTGACCTAAGCTCATTCAATTGAACCTTCTCTTCCAAGACTCTGAATCCTGAGTGGGGTGGATGCCACTCACTCCTACATTATGGTAGTTGATAGGTAAAAACTGAAAGAATGGAGTGGATAAGAACTCTCAAGATCAAAGTGTAACAAAGGAGGCATTGGTTTTGGGGTTTTTTAATTTTTTTGTTTTTGTTTTTGGTTTTTATTTTATTATTTTTTTTCAAATATGGAACACTTCACAACTTTTTGTGTCATCCTTGCACAGGGGCCATGCTAATCTTCTCTGTATCATTCCAGTTTTAGTATATGTTCTGCCAAAGCAAGCACAGTTTTTTGTGGTTTTGTTTTGTTTTTGAGACTGTCTCACTTCATGCTCTAAGTAGAGTGCTGGGACATCATAGCTCACAGCAACCTCAAACTCTTGGGCTCAAGTGATTCTCTTGCCTCAGCCTCCTGAGTAGCTGGGACTATAGGCACCTGCCACAACATCCAGCTATTTTTAGAGATGAGGTCTTGCTCTTGCTCAGGCTGGTCTCAAACTCCTGAGCCCAAACAATCCACCCACCTCCACCTCCCAGAGTGCTAGGATGATAGGTATGAATTACCACATTGGGCAGTGTTTATTTTTGACACTTGGGTGGAAGTGTGCTGAGATCTGAAGGATGTTGTAGGGGTAAGGTGGTTTTATATAGCTGGCTGAGGAGGAGCTGGTTTCCATTAAGAGCCAGCAAACTGTTCCCATTAGGACACCAAAGATGTTATCTCATTACCAGACTCTCTTTGTATCAAAGTGCTAGCATATTTCAATCAGGTGGGTCTATAATTGGCCAGTGCAAGGACATACAAGGGTGTGCAGGGACAAGCCTGCAGCATCTCTCTTATCTGAGTTATGTCCACCTGTCACAGTCTCACAAAATAGCTTTTCAAGATGGTGTTAGTTTGGCCAACCTAACAGTGACACCTCAATAGCTGATAGACTCCATCCTGCTTCCTTTCCTGTTTCTAAGCCTGGTCCTCCTGCCACATCTTGATTCTGTGAATTCCCTGGTATCTTTCTCACAAATTCTTTTTTAGCTTAAGTTAGTCTCAGTTGGTCTCTGAACCCCTATCTCTGATGACTTCTTCCAGTAGCGGGACTATAACTGCTTAAAAGTCTCCTCATTCCATTGGTGGACCACTATATTTGCTTTGAAGTTGTTAATTCAAGCAAAATCAGCTTCTCTGGGGATTTACTAGTGTCTGTCACCAGGATTTAGAAGGAGTAAGTTTTAGTTTCTCTTCTCTGTGATAATCAGTATAATCTTTGAGGAAGAGTAAATAATCACCAATAACCACACCACAAAAGCAAAGTCATCTTTTCTTTAGGTTGAAAACCACCACCCCTTTTTTTTCCTAACATGATATAAATTTCTTGACCACAGGAACAAGACTGTTGGACTGTTTGGACTGTTAATGAGCATTTTGGTCATTTTCACATGGTCCCAGGAAAGTAAACTGTCACTTTCTAAGCAAGTCTCTGTGGAAAAGGGTACTTCCAAGTTTATTATCTGCCCAGGTTGGTGAGTGGTAGAATTGTTTTTTAAGATAAAGGTCTTCTTACTCATACAACTTGTAGGGATGTCTGTATTCTTCCCCAGTCTGCCAGCAATTAAAAGTATATTATCTTCTCTACTGAAGTTGGGATAATTGCTATTTTCAGAGCAACTCATCAGGATGATAGAGATTGATTCCTTTTGATTGACATAGCAGAGGTGTCGAACATTCCTTAGGCACTGAGTTAATGTTATCAGGACTGCAATTTCCCAAACCACGTGTCTGATAAACATGTCTTCAACATTTGCAAACAATCCCAAGTTACTTTCCCCCCTTCAATTATTCCTTCTCATTCTGACATCCTGTCTAACAACAAGTTTATGATTCTGTACTCATTTCACTAGCTTAGAAAAATATTTGTCCTTGAGCGGTAGGCCAGAAACAGAGCTACTGTGAATATCATGGAGAAATAGAAAGAACAAAAGGAGAGCAGTGCCAATTCCCTTCGGCAGTTTTGTCCAATGCTCAAGCAGCTTACTTGCTCCAACTCAAGGTTTCTTCTCCTCCTGCCTCTACCTCTTATACCTTCTCATTATGAGGTATGTGAGTGAGGTTTAGGGCAAGTAATGCTCCCATTCCGGGGGGGGAGCTCCATGTGGAACACTTTTTTCCCTTCTGATGGAGCCTTCAGTTGTGCATAGTATAATGCCCATCTTCACTCTTGTCTGCAGAGGGTAAGACTCTCACCCTGTCATTTTCTCTCTTTTTCTCTCCCTCTCTTCTTCTCCCTCCCAATCTCTATTTTTCTATATCTCCCTCTTCTTCACTTCTAGTGGCCACCAGTCCTCAGGGTAATGCTGAAACTGCTGTTACAAATTGATAAAGGGATGTGGTGGGAACTAGGGTAAGGGCCCCCAAACTCTGTGAAGGAGCAGGCCTATCTAAAATAATGATGACAGTCAAACTCTATGAAGAAACAGCTTAGCTAAAATATTGATAATAATCAAACTCTGTGAAGGAACAGACCTTGCTAAAATAATAATAACAGTCAGCCACTGTCCTTCATTTGCTTGATGATAGTCACTGTCCCTTTGTTTGCTTCTAATTGCTACTCCAGGGGGGCACAGGTGGCAGCCATAAAGATTTTCAACTTTTCTCCATAAATATCAGCTTCTGTTCAGAACATAGGGGTAGTTTTGAGATATCTTCCAGGTCCTGCTTTCCAATGGATTGACTGACCCACTCCAGACCAAGAAACTGACTCAACTGGTCTCAGACCCTCACCCAAAGAACTGCATTCCAGTGGAGGGGCTGACTCACCCAGAAAGTGGCCCATACCAAAGGACTGATGTTTCCACCTCAAAACCAGTGGATTAACAAACCCTGCTTGCTTAATCCTTTACTCACAAAACTATTTTTAAAAAACCCTATGCCCCTCAATTCTCAGGGAAATAGATTTGAGAAACATCCCTTATCTCCCTGCTTGGCACTGTATGGAATAAACTCTTTGCTGTAAAGCCGGCTATCTCTGGACATTGGCTTTCTCTTGGGAAGGAAGCAGATGAACCTGGCTGGGCAGTAACAGTAGCCCAGTAGCCTAAGCCAACACTTTTCATGATTCTAACCATTCATTTCAGGCAAATACCACCTGTTACTCACACAGCACACCCATTCATTCCTACCCATGTTGTCCTTCTTCTTCATGTTGTCCTTGAACCTAGAATGTACTCCAGACATCTTATTTTCTGGGTGCTGAGCAAAATAAAAATTGTAATCCTCCTTGTATCAAGCCCAGAGCTCTTGCTACAACAACAACATACTGCATACTCAAAGCACATGTAGAAAATAAAGAACTTTATTCCAACAAGACTTTGTTTGCAGAAGGAAGATTAGGCTGATTGAATACATTGTTCTACACTGATTTTAATTGGTGCTATAATCTGATCTGTCTCTAACCAGCTAATCGGTATTTAATCAGTTGCTTTAATTTTATTACAAAGCAAGTAGAATGCAGCTGTAGCTAGACACCACACAAGTAAATAAAATGCATTATTATTATATTTATGCATATGAGTTTTATTCTGCTTGTGTCACAACTATACTCACTTCCACTCCCCTCATAATTTGTTTGTATTAAGCCATTACTGTGCATTTGAATGGTGGGAACAGTTGAAAATATCTATTTATTGCCAAGTATAAGTTATATAATAAATTTTTTGATGTACCCACCTTCATTTGCCAAAAATTCTTCTGATTCATTTAAATATTTATACAGCACTTCAATTACTGACATTGCTTCTACTAATTAATGATACAGGGATTTAATTCTATGGAATAAATAAACACAAAAGTAAAAATAACAAAACAAATTCACACATAAAAAAGAATCTGACTTGATTGCCTCGAATAAAACTATGCTAGAGTTTGCCCATAATTCCCCAGAGAATGAGGCATCTTAGCATTTATAAAACTCGAGTGTTTTAGGAGCTTTGAACATGGGTACAATAGGTTCCAAAATCCTATATAAGTATTTGAACAACTTGACCTTATTTCAGCTTTTTGAGAGAACTATTAGGAACAGTCATAGAATCAACATGAAAAATTATTAAGGACCCACACCGTGTCTGCCTGAAAGAACTCAGATAACTACAGCAAACTTCAAAAAATAGTAATAATAAAATCAAAACACCTTGAGGCTGCTCTTTTAGATCCCTACATATTTTTAAGAGGTAATTTACTGGGAGCTCGCTTTTGCTTTTTCCAGTTATTCTGGCTGTGCAGGAACACAATGCCCTCACTGTGTGAGTCTGGAGAGCTCTGCTCCTCTCTCAGGGGGCAGCGCAGTACAATGATGAGAAGACAGGCTTCAGATTAGGAAGACCCTGGTTCCAGTCCAAGCTTCTACCTACTTGCTGCATGACCTCAGGCCATCCACTCTTAAGCCTCAATTTCCTCATCTGTAAAATTGGAGTCACAACAGCTACTCTTATATTGCTGTGAGAAGTAGAGATAACACAACAATACTGTAGCCAAGGGGTCTAGCTGTTTTTTCAGCTACTGGAAACTCTCAGGCTCATTTAACATAACCTTGAGACTTACCTCAAAGTCTTCTCACCCAGTAGAGATTCATTTATTTAACAAATGTTTATTGGGCACCTACAGGGGGCCCAAGCACATAACCATGAACCCAGAACACAACACTGAAGGTTCAGTTGGAAACATAACACCCAGTTTTTTCAATGGGAATGAAGATGACTAGACTTTAAAGAAAACATGCCCAGCTAGATGTTTATGGCAAAACCAAGATCAAGGCAATTATCATGGAAATATACAACAGGATATTAAGAATAGTCCCTTCTTCTTGTACAGCTAAGGAAAGAAACCATTGTTTCCTCATCAGCATCAAAATGACACCTAATACTTACATAGTATTTTGCTATTTATGAAGCATTTTTATGTGCTATCACATATAGGAAAAGGGTCTCCTGACACTCAGGTACATAATCTACATCTCTGAATATCACCATCCCTGTCACTAAACACCTGTGACCACATAGCAGTATAAGATGGCTAACAAAGATGCCTTCACACATCCAAAGTTTGATTTTATTCTTGTCCTAAACCTTTAAACTAGTTCTACCCTCACACCAGAGAGAAGGTGGTTAGTGAATTTACCTATACGTATAAAGTGGGGATGTTCTAGGTAATCATGTAAAATCCCCTTATTTTGCTCCTCGATAGGGTCATGATACTATTCCTGCTCTGCCTGGAAATGGGATGGAATGACTCCTTCC